TTAAATTAATTCAGAATGTTAATTAAATAACATAATTAATTTGGCGCAACTGAATTTATTTGAAATTCACGTGTAACGGTAATCCTTCCAAAAAGTCGTTACTTTTTCCAAATGGTAATCCTTCCGAAAAGTCGTTACTTTTCCCAAATGACACAATGTTCTGGAAAAAACGGGTCTGAACAGACGCGTTCCTTGCTGCAAATGGCTATAAATAAGAGGTCTTTTTCGTTTTTTTAAAACACTGAAAATTTTCCTCTCTGCATACATTTTCCTACATAAATAAAATTGTCGATCGACTGAGTCTGTGTGTGCTCTTGTTACTGTTCTTGCGTTCGCTGAAGTTATTGAAGTTTGAGGTACCGCTACTTCTTTAACAGGTTAATCTGTTTTATCTTGGGAGGAATTAATCTGCAACCTCGGGTACAGTGAGGGGATTAAATTTCTTAAGGAAACACAGTAATTTCTGTGGACGCGGATTAAAAATCATTTTGTCAATTTCATCTTTTTTCTGTTTCTGTATTTTTGACTAACCTGAATACAGGAGATAACACAAATCACCTAGACCAATCCTAAATGATTAACGATTTTTTTTTGCGTAACTCGAGGGACCCCACCAAAATACACAACACTTTTCCCCAAATTTGCTTGCAAACCAGAGGCTTTGGAAAAGTCCTGAAAACATCTATACAAAGCTTTAGTAGATGTTCGATCCCCCCTTGCAAACAATAGAAGGTCATCAGCAAAACTCAAGTGAGTAATTCCCAGCTTTGCACATTGAGGATGAAACTGGAAACTAGAATCATTCTTTAGACCTGCTAGACTTCTACTAAGATACTCCATGGCAATAGCAAAGAGAAAAGGAGATAGAGGATCTCCCCGCCTCAACCCTTTAGCTGCATTGAAGGGTTTGGTAGTTTCACCATTGATCAATATGGTATAGTTGACTGTCCTGATGCATTCAAGGATCCAAAAAAATAAATTTGTTGGGGAAACCAATTTCTTCCATGACCTGCTGCAAATATATCCACTCCATAGAGTCATATGCCTTTTGGAGGTCAATTTTAAGCATGCATCTTGTTGATATGTGTTTTCTAGTACAGTCTTGGACTAGCTCATGAGCTAATATGACATTATCACCAAGTTTTCTGCCAGGTATATACCCGCCTGGGCTTCATTTATGATATACCTCATCACTTTCTGTAACCTATTTGCCAAGATCTTAGATATTAGCTTGTACAAGATAGTGTAACAAGAAATAGGTCTAAAATCCTTTACAGTCTTTGGTTTATAAATCTTGGGAATAAAGAGTAATGGTGGCACAATTGACAACTTTGAACATCTTTCCAGTAACAAAGAAATCCTTAACAGCAGCTACCACATCATGTTGAATAATAGACCATGATTTCTCTTATCCATCAATACCTGGAGCTTTATCATCTCCAATGGCTTGAAGACTCGTATTAACCTCTTGTGTTGTCACAGGTGCACACAACTCCAGTTTTTGTTGCTGAGTTAGGGTTGATCCATTTTGCATTACTCTTTTGTTGATAGAAAGCAATAACCCATCAGGGATTTGTAAAATTCTATGATCTGAATTTTAATTTCCTCAGGATCAGTAATTATATATATTTCCAGCTAAGGCACTAAGCTTTGAAATTTGCTTCTTGTGAGCTCTTTCTTTCACTATTGCGGAGAAATACGAATGAGTCTTCCAAACTCTTGGATCTCAGAGTATACAACAGGGTTGCCTAGTAGTCTATCTTCCGGATACAATACAACATTAATTGAAGTTCAGCCAAGGTAGTGTGGTGCTTTTCCCAATGTCGATCGATTAAATTGTCCCATAAGGACCTTCTTTGTTCCTGGGAGTTGAATCCATACACAACACTGAGAAAACCTTCAAAAATCTTTTATGTGGCAATGGATGAGCTGATCACCTCTCTTAATAAGAGTGATCTTTTAATTAGAAATATAGTAATGCTTCTGTAAAGTTCATACTAAAATGAATCTGAAAATTATAGTATTGGAATCCAACTCCTGTCATATTCTTCTTCAAAAGTTTGTTTTCCTTTTTCAATAGCTCTTCTTCTTTCTTCTTCCTCTTTGTCGTTCTATTTTCTTCTGATGCTGCTCCTTTTTTATTCATTGATTGTTTTCCTTTTTCAGCACCTCTTCTTCTTCGCCAATTTTATCTTCATTTTCACGTTTTCTTTTTCGTCCTCTATTTGGATCCAATTCCTCTGCTTCTTCCCTTTTTTCATCAGATTCTTGATTTTCATGCTATGTTTCTTCATTTTCATTCTGTCCACCAATCTCCATTTAAAAAAATAAAGAAAAAAATCAAATTAAAAAAAAAAGAAAGCAAAAAAGATAATATAAGATTGATAATTAATATTATACCAAATTTTTAGAAAAGAAATCAACTTAACAAAACAAAACAACTTTCTATAGTTCTTTCAACGTCCTATTTTTTTTTAAGATATGAATGTGAAGAAATATTCCATGTTAAATTAAAACAATCAATTTTACTTTGGAATATAGAAATAACATAAAATAAACAAGTAATGAAAAATATATGGTAATTTAAAGATATGAGGTGTAACCCACATTTTTTTCTTTTCTAAAGTCTCTTTTTGGTATTTATTTCTTGGTATGAATTGTGACACAAACGTTTTATAAGGATGATTTTTTTTTCATTTCTCTTAAATAAAAACTAAAAGAATAAAGAGATGAAATTTGAAAAAGAAACTAAAAGAATTTTAAAAAATCAATTAAATGTATCCATTATTTATGAAACCAAATTCTGATTTTTAATACATCATTTTCTTTCTTCATTTTAAAAAAATTAAATAAAATTACATTTTATATAATTAAAAAAATTACCAAAATTTGGTATGACATTGATACAATTATTCTTAAATTTTAAAATAGGGCATTTATCTGGAAAAAAATGAAATTAATATATTTGAATTTACATGGTAACTAAATACAAGCTTGCAACATACAAATATAAATAAAGTTTGATATATCGCTATTGATTGTGTATCACATTTCTGATGCCTAACTTTATATAATTATGTAGATAGATTAGTTAACAATATTACATTATGAAACTACTTAGAAGTTGAATAAAATTTCAAAAGAAAATTATAGTAAGCAAAACATAAATATGTGAAGATTAATTTATATAAGACAAATACACATATGGAAAAAAAAATTAAATAAAAGAAATGCTTCATTCAATCTAACATTGATGAAATATATATTAGGCGTTGGTTGAACAGCCTCTCTTTCACATATAAGTATAACTGTCATTTCAAATAAATCGATTCTATGAAAGCAAAATCAAGAGTGGTGACATCATCAACACCCGCATCATGAATTTTCTTCTATTAAATTTAAATCTTTCAAGACATATAGTACCAAGTAAATTGATAAATGAAGAATAGAAAGGAGACATACATCTCAACATCTATTTTACCAAATTCAAAATTAATATTCCATTAAAACACACCGTTAAAAAAAAAAAACATTGAAATCAAAGTATACATACCAACTTTCAATATGCAGAATTTCCTTTTGAACGCAACAACTACTTTCAATTGTTTGTTGATTTTGAACGAATTCCATTGGACACAACATTGATGCCCAACAACACAAATCATTTTTACCTCATAACTTCTTTTTATTCAAAATATATTTATATGACCACTATTTGATGAATTCATCACAATTAATATTTGCCCTTTCAATTTCCATTCCTCCATATTCTACAGATTAATTATCATTTTTAATTTTGCCATTAATCTCTTTTCATTTATGTGAATTGACTTTCAATTGTCCATTATTAAATTCAATAATCAAGATAAAATTAGAGTATTTTTTTAAATTAGGTAAAATATCAAAAAAAAAAAAGAAGATAAATATGAATGATGGTCATAGAGAGGTGTCATATCACCAATTCTATATCTAGCTTTATTATATATATCATTAATTATTTTTTTCTTATTAATATTAAAAATACATTAACCTAAATTTGAAATATTTTAATTAATTTATGTGTTATTATACTAAAAACATATTTAGGGAGTTTTTATTTATAAGAAAAATAAAATGCTAATTTGTGTAAGAATAAAATATATGATACTATATATTACTCATAAATAAGGGCTATGCAGTGTTTCCAAAAACGTTCTTGGGGCGAGTCTCGAGGTGGGACGTACCAAAAATGTTTCAGGGCGTAAATTAAAGACGTAGATTCATAAGGTGTAAATTTTAAAATTTGAGGCGTAAGCTTCGAGCATAAAAACGTAAGTCATGGGTGTAAAATTGTAGGCCCAGACGTTTTTAGTTTTTTTTTTTTTTACCTTTTTTGCTTTAAATCATATTTTTTATTATTGGTGCAATGATATTCTCAAATAGTAATTATAATACCTTTTTTTGTCATTATTTATTATTAATACTTATGTCAAATAAATATAATTTCTATATATTATAGGTTATTTATAAAAAAATTATTTGTAAAATCGTTGAAAAGTCTACTTTTGTTTATTTTATTAGTAATAAAATTATAAAATTAAATATACATGAGATTACGTCCTATAAATTCATGTGACTTACGCCCGGTGTCTCGGGGCTTACGTCTCGCCCTATACAGTAGAAAACGCCTAGTCTTTTTAAACACCTGGGGCTATGTATATTGTAATAAATACATTATAAGTCGTCTTCCCCAATTTCAAAAATTAAGGAGCCATTGAAGCCCTTCCCCAACTGCTGCAACTCCGTCGCTCTGCTACCTGAAATCCACCTACTATTTCCAGTGCCCAGAGCCAAATCGGTACTCCCTTTCATTCATTCATTCTAGTTTGGAGAAGAAATTTTAATCTAGAATGTTCCATACATATTATTTTTTGGTTTTCTATTCGATGTCTGGTAACCACATTGGAGTAGACTAAATCCGATTCGATATTTATATTCTAATAATAGCTTTAAGCTGAAAAATGCTGAGGATTTTAGTAAAAGAAGGTTCCACTATTTCCATATTGAATTTCCATCAGAAGCGTACTCTTGTCAATGTAAAGCTTAAATGGGTTAAAGATAGTGTCTTGGATTCTGTGGTAGCTGGAGGTACACAACTCAAGGCTGGAACTACACTAGTTTCCATCATTACCTCACAATCCACTTCTGGTATTCCTATTTACCATCTCCAAAGAAAGCATAGGCAGCTTGGACTCCCTCATGACTTGAAAGTTTCCACTTTCCTTAGGCGATACCCGAATATTTTTCAGGAGTTTTTTTGTAGTGATAGTGCTGGTTCTCCTGTTCCGTGGTTCAAATTAACTCCTGAGACTTTAGAATTTCATCATGAGCAAGTTGACGTTTTCCGCCAGTGCAGCACAGATATTGTTAATAGGTTGAGAAAGGTTTTGATGATGACCAATAAGAGGATGCTTCCTCTTCAGACAATTGATCAGCTAAAATGGGATTTAGGCTTGCCACATGATTGCGCTAGTTCATTGATTATAAAATATCCTAAGCTGTTTAGTTTGGTGGACCTTCCTGATGGTCGTGTCGGTCTGAGGCTTTTAGCATGGGATCACAAATTAGCTGTTTCCCATTTGGAGGAGAATTCTGCAAAGGAAAATGGGACCTTGATGTTTCCTATTGGATTTACCAGGGGTTTTGGGTTAAAGAGAAAATGTATGAAATGGTTGGAGGAATGGCAAAAGCTGCCTTATACTTCTCCTTATGTAGATGCTTCTCATTTGGACCCAAGGACAGATGTGTCAGAGAAGAGGATAGTTGGAGTCTTTCATGAGCTTTTGAACCTCACCTTACAAAAGAAAACAGAGAGGAGCAATGTTAGCAATCTTCGTAAGCCATTGGAATTGCCTCAGAAGTTCACAAAGGTCTTTGAGCGGCATCCGGGGATATTTTACATTTCTATGAAGGGTGGCACGCAGACAATCGTCCTTAGAGAGGCTTATGAGCGCAATCAACTGATTGAGAAGCATCCCCTTGTTCATATAAGGGAGAAATTCGCAAACATGATGACACTAGGTTTTCTAGATCGTAGTAGAGGGCTATATAAAGACAATAACCAAGGTCCAGAAGAAGAGGAGTCACTGACAAGTAGTTTTGTTGGTGAGACCTGTGGAACTAGATATTACTCTGATATAGTCTCAGATTCAGGTATGGGTTTAGAAGATGAAGCAAAGAAGATAAAGGTCCTTCAACAATGTTGAAGTTATAAGCTGAGAGGTGATTGGACTGACTACTTGAGGCACTTAGAAACATGTGGAAGTAGATTGCATATGCTCTTAGTATATGAATAACATTAGATAGAGGTCCTTTAAGAAGTACTGTTGAAGATAAAAGCTGAGAGGTGATTGGACTGACTACTTGAGGCTCTTAGAAACATGTGGAAGTAGATTGCATATGCTCTTAGTATATGAATAACATTAGATAGAGGTCCTTTAAGAAGTACTGTTGAAGATAAAAGCTGAGAGGTGATTAGCTGTAACTTTGAGATTCTCATTCTTCATCTAAATTTGCGGAGAAGTTCTTCATAATGTTGAGGAAGTTCTCCCCAATCTTTGCTTATGATCTGGTCCTTATCTTAGTTACTCGGACCAAATCAAATAAGACAGCCATTTTATTCCAAGAAGAGAGGGAATTAACTAATGTGATTGAAAGATGAGCTGAGAGTGTGAATTACTCCCTTCATGGCATCACTTCAGAGAACCACCCCTTTAGTATGTCTCAATGAGTATTATTGATGGACTTCTGTTCTGTAAGAAGTATTCAGCTGGAACTCTTGCAGCAACTGACTCTGTGGTGTCACCTAAATGTGATGGTAAGGATTGTTTACCTTTAGCGAGGAAGTTCATTTATCTAATGTTAGTTTCTAAAGGCTGGATGGAGGCTTTGAGATTCTGTCAGATAGTATGCTCATGTTGTTCTTTGAGAATCCTATGAGACAGTGTATGTGATAGTTTATGTCAGTGTTGTCACCAAGTTATCTCCATGATACATCATTTATTCCTTTCTCTATTGTCAACAAGTTATCTCTGTGACAAATCATTCGTTTTTTCATTAATTTAGATTTTCAGGTCCCATGAATGAATCTGAGCAAATGTGAAAACAAAATACCTTTTAAGATGTCTCTGAAGTGGACACAAAATATTTAGAATGCTTTAGACTCAAATTTGCTTGTGGCACTAAATCAGGTTATGAGGTTTTCTATTTTGTTAGAAAAACATAGAATACCAGAAGCTGCACTAAAGCTATTATATATATCTATAAATTATAAATATTCTTAATTCAGAAGCTGCACTAAAGCTCGCACATTATTTTCTGCTGAACAATTTGGCTTTGGCAGACATCTCTCAGAGAAAGAAATATCACTTCACCAAGGTCACTTTCACATTCCTCTTGAACCAAATATTTTGAACTTCTATCACTATATATACAAGAAGTTTCCCGAAAGAAGGAATATTTGGCAACGAGTTTGAGTGCTTGCAGATATCTAGCATGGAATATTCCTGATAAATGTTGTTCCAAAATCAAATGAAAGCAAGTGTACCCATATGCATTACTTGACTATATCCTATCATTACCAGAATTATCTTTATACATTTTCTGAATAATAATTTGTAGTCATATACTTTTAGCTTTGCGCCACATTCTTTATGTAAGATATTGAGGATTCGTTTGTCTTATAAATATTATGCCTGGATGGGACACTAACATTGAAACTAGTAGCTGTCAGTTTGTATCAATAACCCTAAAAGAAATACAAAACAAGTGATATTTTACCTGTACAAGATAAATAAGTTCAAATATATATATATTCATCGAGAGATGATCTGAAAATAGCATTTGGATTGACTGAAGAACAAGTGCTTTTAAGAAGAAAATGTTAGGCTTAAGTCTTTCTTATGCATCTATGTGTGAGCTCTAGTATCGATGCTCATTTTCATTTAGATCAAGTTCTTGCTAGATTGGATATGTTGATAACTAACTTCCCCTTTAGTTTAGTTTCTTCATACCTTATATGGTTTTCAGGTTAGCTACTCTTCTAGTTTTAGGCAAAAAATAATATCTTTATCGTATTATAAGATGCTTTCTGACTGATGTTTTTAAAGTGTCTTAATCTGATCTGAATTTCTCTTCTTCGGCTAAATCTTTCCATTTTCCCCTTATTGTCGGATTCTTGATCCATTTCAGATTTGAATTTTATGAATGGGCTGTATAGCAGTTGATGATGGGAATTAATGCTCTTTGGGTCTAGCTTTTAGTGATTTCAATCTGTTTGTTTTCCTTATTTTCTTTTTTTAACTTCTTGATTTATGGAGTTTCTGTATTTCCCAAAGCTAAGTAGCCAATAAAAAATGTTTTACTCCATTCTTCGCCTTTCTTGGTCGTTTACCCTTTGACCTTGCTTTGCTCCCAGGTAAACCATTGCTGGTGTTCTTTACCGGAAGTATTGTTGCCGACTCCTTTCTCACTATTCTTTCCCTTATTCTTCGACTCTATTTTTGGGGAGGTTTTTTGTTTTGCTTCTATCTGTATATAATTTCTGCTTCAGCAATCCAAGGTGAGCACAACCAGAGAAAACTTCATTATCAACTATCTCAGTAAGGTAAGACTGTATACTTAAACTCTTGTACTTAAAGGGTCATAAACCTAAACCAATTAACCCTTCATGTGCTTACCTCTGTATGTTTTACAACAGAAAGTTTGTATGGGAGTTGCTGCTCATTGTGTGTTTCATATAATAGGTTCTAAAATTAAAAGTAGTTTTTTAATACTGCCGAGGACTGACCATACCTTATTAATGCTCTCGAAGTGAGCTTTCATAAAAAGGAGATTTTCTTATACATTAGAACTAGGGATGATTTTGTTGTTTGTTTCTGTTGAATAAACCTTGGGACCTGGCTCCAAAGACTCAAAACAGGCAAAAGAATTTATCTGAGGAGGGAAATTCAGGTAAGGTGTATCCCATATCTTGAAAAACCCAATACATTTCGTTGCGTCTTATAGTGAGAGACCTGAGTCGTACATATTCTTGAGCTTCTATACTTTTATTTGTGTTGCTTCTATTCTTTTCTAATCTGTTCTTTTTTCATAAGATACCTTAAGTTGATCATTAAGTGTACTATACATTTCTATCACAGCATAGCCTCAGTTTCTCTATGCAATAGTATGTGGTTATCATTAATTGATGAAAGTGGAAATTATTCTCTGATGTGAAGGTCCTTTTTGATTACGTAGTGCCCTATTTTGCCTGATGATATGAAAGTAAAAGTGAAGACGGGGGAAAAAGGTGATGAACCCCTAAGTCTTGTTTCAGGGGCTTCTTCAAATCATACCAACCGGAGAAGCTTCAGTCCCTCTTGGCTTCTTTGCACCATTGCTGGTAATTTATTCCGATATCTACTCAATTTTTTTTTACCTCTTCTGTTAATTGTGTACAAAACTTATTGAAGTATTCTTTTCATAGACAACTTTTGTTGACGCACACTCGAAAACATTGTAGATACTCGTGGCCTGTTTCCCATTGTTATATTTTTTTTACAAAAAGAGAAAAAGAGGCCTCAACTTATGCACTGGGTTACATGTGTGAAGAAGATATGAAAGGAAACAACCACCTGTTTGTGGACTAAGGTGGCTTTGGAGCTTTGGGACATGTTTGGACTTGTTCAATATTAAAGTAATGATATCAAATTCAGCCAAGTAGTTACTGTTAATATCGGAAAAACATGGGCGTCACAAAGGAGAAGGAAATCTTTGATATCTTTATGACAAGGAAGGCAGAATGTATATAGTTGTGTAAATCTGATAAAAGTTCAGTAGGACACTTTTAAAATATGGTGAACAGAAGTAGAGTGAAACTTTTCTGTCGACATATATGGTAGTATTTGTACTTCTGGAACTTTTATGTATTTATAAAAAAAAAAAAAGATTAGTTTGATAATATTACTATAGCTTATCCCGTTTTCTTATTGCATAGCAACAATATTTGTTGACGATAATCAATCTATACATTGGTGAGGCATTTTCCATGAGCTACGATCCAAGAGAAACATTTGATTCTTTCATAAAATCTTCCAAGACCAAGAAAACATGGTCGGAGAGGGGTTATAATAAAGGCTGCATAACAGCTATTCACAAAGAAAGATTCCTTTGTGGTGGGATTGTTTCACCTTTAATTAGAGGTCTCGGGTTTGAGCTTCGGGTATGAAGAAAATTATGTTGGGAGCACCACCCCTGAATGGGGCAACTTGTAGTGTGCGATCCAAATTTAGTTGGGACTTCAATACAGGCTCCAGACACCGAGTGGGAAACCAAAATCAAAAAACAAAAAGATTCCATTGTGAAGAGTGTTTCCGGATGATGGAATCAGTTGAGAGAACAAAGGAGGGACAGGGCTTTGCTGATTCATCAAAAACAAAAAAGTCATCAATTTCCCCAATTATTGAGGTTTTTGCAAACATTTGTTTTAAGCTTTCGTTTAGTCATAGATTTTGACGTTGAAACCTTGAAAATTTGTGTTTTCAAAAGTTATGATTTTTGGAATTTGAAGCTGTGTTTGAACTTGTATTTTACTTTGGGAAAGAATTGAAGTTTGTGACTTGAAGTCCCAAAAACTGAAAACTATTTTGAGTCATTGGGAACTAGAAAATATTCGAAGATCATAATCTAATAAAATTTCACGGTCAAATAAAAATTTGAAGATAATTTTTTAAAATATGCTCCCAAACGCTAGGTTAGTGGTGGAATCTTAGCTTTTGAAAATGCCTTTGGGCCTAAAATTGAGCACAATTTGCTCATTATCACATTATTGCGTTTTAAGTTTTATTCGAGGTGAATTTTGCAAATTAGAATTGAAGTGTTTTATACACTTACCTAAAAGTTACTGCAAGGGGCCTTAAATTGATGTATGAACTTTAAGTGATTTGGCTGATTTCAAAGTCTTGAAAAGATGAGTATTTCTCTAATACATTTATCTTTGATGGTTTGGGTTACTTCAAAGGTGTGATGAATTAGGTTTGGCTTGTTATGATGAGGTTGTTCATATTTATCATGCATATCAACTCAGGGTGAGACCTGAAGTATGGGCTATATTATACTTGTGATTATAATTGTATGGTATCTGTTTTGCTAAGTTATGGTTACTAAGTCAAGTTGATGATCGAGAGTGGTGTATTTTAAATGTTGGGATTAGTTATAGTTGTGTAGTGTTCGGAACAAATCTGATAAGGGGGAGTTTGTGAAGATGATTTAGTAAGAGTCTTGTGGGTGGTCTACTAAAATGGGTCAAGGGTCATGGTGCTGGCATGAGAACTTGAGGGAGAATAGTAGTTTGGTTTACAGGGTTAGTAGCGGTCTTGTATTCAGAAAATCTCTATGTGATAGAAGGGTTAGGTTATGATTTGATATGAGGGTGGAATGGCCTAGATGGTGGAGTTGACAACGGAAGGAGGCGAGGTGACTTGAAATAGAGCGTATGAGTTCCAAGGTAATACTACTTGTAGTAAGAGT